CCCTACAGTTATCTGGCATTAATAATAATAATCTGGCATTCTTAAACAAGTCCTAAGTAACACACAACATAACTGAGTTATGAGCTTATGGAAACAGGGACTATGAAATTCATACCCCACTGTGCATACCCCACCATGCCTAAAAGAGGACCTGAGACAAAATAAATGTTTGCTAAATGAAGTCATTTTAACCATTTAGTATCAAAAGAGGAAAAGAGAAGGAAGAGTAATAACAGAAAAAGTAGAAAGGAGATGAAATAGAGAAAAATGGGAAAACTCAGTGAAACTTAGTCAAAGAAAGGATAGCAATAAGGAGGACAGAACAATCTTTGCTTTATCCAAACTTTCACCATTCCAAGCAACCCAGCAACAGGAAGCCCAAAGAGATATTAAGAAAAGGAGAAGGTTCAGTAAAGTGAAATCAATGAATTAAGAACTACTAAGAGAAACTGATGAAAATTCCACTAGGACAAATTGAATTAAGGCATATAAGGCTACAATTCCTATTATCTATGCTTGTACAGTATCTATCACCAACAGTATCTAAGGTAAGATACTAGGTTTTATAAATATAAAATCAAACAAAAATCACTGTTACTCAGTGTCAGTGAAAACAGTCTACAAGTCTAGCAGATTTCAAATTCAGCAGTAAAATTTATGTGCAAACACTGCATTCACTGAAATTGTATTCACATATATTACAGATAAAATACTACATAGTTTTTCAAGTACCCTCTGAGATCAAAACAGCTGTTACCATTGAGGCATTACATGGATGCTTGGCTAAATCTATAGTGCTTCTTGATGCTCTTAGCTGTTTTTCACGTTCCCGGCGGTTCTCAGCCTTCTTCCTTGCGCCAGTCTTTTTTTTAGGCATTTCCTTTTCTTTCTATACAAAAGAACAGACAAGATATAATTGCCTGGTTGTGTTTACATATTTTTAAGTTTGCCAGAGAGCACACATGCTCACCAGAGACGGGGCAGGGGCGGGGAGGGGGGGGGTGGATGAGAAAGCGCCCCCATGGGGCATGGTCACACCACAATACCGCACTGATTTATGTCACACGTATGCACCCAGCATGCTTTCAAAGCCTTTAGGTCCAGGACGTGAACTGCCCCATTGGCCATGTGGGATTCTGGCACTTTAAACCACCAGGCTACAGGCCTAGTTTATTTTAATAAACCGAGAAGTAGTATGACATAGTGATCTTATTCTCATTAAATTTTAAAGTTAATTCTGTCACTTTGGCAGGTCAAGCAGATGTTTTAAGCACACATTATTCCAAATACAGTAGATCATTTTAAAGCATTTATTTACACTTCCAAACAATTCTTAAAAATATAAACATCAAAGAAATGCACCTGAAAAGCCAAAGTAGTTTTCTCTTCTAAGATGTTAAATACTCTGTACATCATTGAAAATATTTAGGCATATATAATTAACAAATAAAAATCATTAAAAAGTACATTACCCAGTGTAAGTCTTTTTTTGTTTGTTTGTTTGTTTGTTTTTTAGTTATATATTCAGATGAGGTGGGGTTCCTAAGGCTTGAACAAGTCTTATTTTTCCTATGTAATATTTAAATAAAATGGCACCTATAACTACAAAGTCAGACTGTTCCCTCTGAAGATATTAGAAGTATTATAGTTGCTTTGATTCTTTTAAAGTTGCTCTTCTCTTTACATGCAGTAAGCAAGTAATTTTAACAGAGTTCAAGTTTATGTTTAAGAGAATATGTTTACAACACATATGACAGTAAAGACGTTAAGACTGTCATCACTTAGTTTGAAGAATTACTACGCTTACGAAAAATTTTTCTAAAATAAAGTTCTTTAAATTAAATGCCCAGTCAAAAACCCAAGAGGTACACATGATGGTTGTGACTCAAGTATATAAGCAGACCAGCCAGGAGATTTAATTAGTGGTCACTTAAGAAACATCCAAGCCACTATGCCACCTTTCAACACCTAAACCGACAAAATCTAGAGGTAACTACTGCCTTAGCCAAAACAACTCAGAAAATAATGACGGAATAATCGCGCAGATCGACGTTATGCGTCCCCAAGGGTGTCTTTTGCATTTGCTGATAAAGTGGAGCTTCATTTGTTTCCCCTCAATTTGTTCTGGACACTTAAGAGTGAATCTTTTTCAACCTTTTAATGATTCAAGCCCTTCTTCAGGAACACTCCAACTTGTGGACCACTCAGTAGGGCACAGGCGCAAGATTACTGCCACTTTAGAGGCAAGCCCGGAGTCGGGGGACCCAGCGGGGTGGACGCGGCGCCCGACGGAGACCGTGGAGGTGCCACTCGGCTCGGCGAACCGACAGCCGTCACTTACCGCGGACTCCCTACCTCGCGCGCACTCCGAGCCGACCTCGCTCACCCTCGCTGGGCAGCCAGGCCACTCCGGGGACCGAGGGACAGGGACTGGCGCGAGGACGCCCGCGGAAGCAGGAAACCCAACTCCTGCACCAGGACTCCGCGGAAGAAGCTATCAAGACCCAGGAAGATAGACAGAGGGGGTTTCGGATAGAGACGAACCGGATGTCCTCTTACGTCAGTAGCGTCCTTGAGGCCCACGTCGACAGGAAGTTCCCCGCCCAGCCCATTAGCCCCGCCCAGGACGCATGGGACGTGGCTCCCAATCCTGGTCAAAAAACCTTGGAGAGAGAAAGGAAGCCGGTGCCTTTCAGCAAGGAATTTGGGCAGAAGGTGTGGAGGATCAGCCAGCTTCTTCACTTAAATAGTTCCAGAAAAATGAGAACTCTGAAAAGAAGAGACACACCTAAAAGGAAATGAAAAATGAACTCAGAAACTTGGTACTGGGTCCGTTTGGTCAAACAGCAAATTCTTGCCTAATTGCTTTGGAAACCTTCCCCTTATCTACAAATTCCTCCCTCCAGTCCCAACTTTTCTTGACTGCACAGCTGTACTTCCAGGTGCCCACAGGACCGCCTCTGTCTCCGCTTCCCACTGTGCCCTCTGGAATTCCATTCCTTTGTGAACAAATTCTCCCACATTCCCTGCCCCTGGCCACAGGCCTGACCTGAACTGGCCCCCCTCCCTGCCAAGACTGCTTGCTCTAATCTTTCTGAAGTGAGGTTGCTGCTTGTTACACAGTTCCCTCACATGTTGGTTAGGGCAGTGTCGTGCTCCCCAAGTTCACAGCCAGACAATTCTCCTGTCTGACCATACCACCGTTTTATCCTTCAGTGATGCTATTTTATACTCCTTATTGATGGAAAACTTTGGAACCTGACTTCCACCGTGGCCATCATCACCTTTCGTCAAGGTAGAATCCAGACAGAAGACATCTTGGGTCCTTGGTTTCTTTAACTCTCGCAGCCCTTCCTGCTCGGCTACGGGCACCTGCTTTCATGCATACATCTCAGGTCTTTATCAAATAGAACTGTTTCAGTGCTGAAATCCAAAATTCAAATACCTAACCGCCTAACCTCCTATTCTACCAACTCTCCTCAATTTGCCCTCCTGTCGGAGACTTCAGACGTCGAGACTACTGTTTTCTCCCTTTCTATCTGCTTTCTGCTTTCTTCCTTTCTTCCCCTTTGCATTCCTAGCACCCAATTTATAAAACTGTTCATTACTTTAGTAACAGTCTGCCATGTTTTTCTCCCTTCTTTTTAAATTTCCAGAGGGCACATGTGCTTGCCAAAGAGACAGAGAGAAAGTACATTTCCAAAGGAGTGTGACTCATTGCAGTCCCTTCTCCATATCTCTATCCTGTCAAGATTTTGTGCACACATGAACATACACCTGGGATTCAATATGCGCTCAGTCATCTGGGATCCATTTTCATAACTATTTGTCTATGGGCTGACCCAAATCTTCCACTGATCAAACTGATGGTAAAATTCTAAATTTTGGTATTCTAACAATTTGCCTTTTCTTCCCCTATACTGAACTTTCTCGTATTGATAAAGAAAATAATAATCACATAATCATGATTCTATCGTAAATCCATGGTAAGAGCCTCCATAGGCCTCTCAAATTGCCTTCCAAATCTTCTGTATTTTCCAAATGAGCTCTTTCATTCCCATTCTCCATGATGGCATTGTAAAATCTTCCATCACTTTATAAATTTTAGCAAATACTGATGCTTCATATTCAACAGAGAAAATAGAATAATATCAACAATGGCTAACAAATACCATATATATCATTTTTGCTCCTGGCATTCTAAACATTACATGTGTAGCACTAGGTCCTAATTTTGCACTTGAAGAAATTTGAGCAGAAAGGCAAGAACTTGTCCCAAGATTACACACCTAGTTTGGCTTATGGTATCATGTAGTATAACAGTTCTCAAATTTTTTGGTCTCAGGACCCTTAAAACTCTTAAAAGAGGCGCCAAGTAAGCTTTTGTTTATGTGGATTATATCTACTGATATTTAGCATATAAAATTTAAATTGATAAAAATATTTAATTCACCAAAAAGAGTATTTGCATACCTGTTACATGTTAATATAGCATGTGAATAATTACTGTATTTTTCCAAACAAAAATCTTAAGGGGTGAATCTGTTTCATTTTGCAAATTGTTTTAATGTAAAGTTTAATGGATTCCTGTATCTGTCCCTCTGTTGAAAATGTTTTGAATCAGGACCACCAAAGATCCTCTGCCCAGACTTCACCCTCCTGTCCTCCAGATCTAGTCAAGGACCCAGGTTACAACACCTACTTATTCTGTCTATATCTGTCTCCTCTCTCTCTTTTTATTTTTTTTTAACTTGAAAACTTTTTAGCTCTCTGCTGTTTTTTTAAATTCTTACCTCTCCCCCTGCCCCCATAGGATAAGCCAATCAGCAGTCATCTGTATTTGAGTTCTGTGCAGCCCAATTCAGGAATTAGGACCCCCGAAAACCCTTTGTCTAGACTTCACCCTCCTGTCCCCCTGATCTAACCAAGGAGCCAACGTAGAGCACCCTACTTATCCTCTTTCTCTCTCTCTCTCTCTCTCCCCGTCTCTCTCTCTTTAATTAAAAAAAAAAAATTAAAACTTCTTTGCTGTCTGTCACTCTTTTTAATTCTTACCATTCCCCATGCCCCCATAGGATAAGCCAATCAGCAGCCATCTATATGTGAGTTCTGAGAGGCCCCATAGCACGCTGTGCAGTTTCTTTTCTTTTTTTTTAATTTTTTTGTTGTTTTTGTCTCTCTTTTGGTTTTCTTTTTCCTTTTCTTTTTACCTTTCTCACTTTTCTACTCCACAAGCTCTAGGTGCTCAGTAGCCAAATATTTTAATACTGTTAGGGTCCGATTAATCCTCAATTTTCATTGAATCAACTGTGCAAAGGGAGAAAAATGGTACTGTTTAGAGACTACATATCACCACCTCTTGCATTCCCCTGAAAGCTCCTATTTAACTCCAAAAACTAGGAAAAAGCATATTACCCATCAGATGACTAGAAACCACCACAGAGGCACAAGAAATATGTGAAACCAAGAAAATACCTCTCCTCTAAGGGAAAAGAATAACTCCTCTTTCTCCACAGAGAATACAAGGGAACTCATGGAAATGTCAGATAAAGCATTTAAAATATCCATAGTGACAAAGCTAACAGAGATGCAAGTGAAGAGAAACAATGAACTCCGGAAGGTACAGGAGAAAAGAGATGGGTTTCAGGAGGTGAGGAAGTTCCTGCATGATCTGAAAGAGGAGATACACATCATGAAAAAGAATAAAATGAAATTGTTAGAGATGAAGGTTATAATACAGGAAATCAAAACCTCCCTTGAAATTATCCAAAACAAATTAGATCATGCAGAAGATCGAATCTCAGAAGTAGAAGATAGAACCTCTGACCTAGATAAATTAACCGAAAAAATTTGAGAAAATAACACAAAAAATAAGAATAACATACGAGTAATACTAGATACCATTAAACGCCCAAACATCCAGATCATCAGTATTCCAGAAGGTGAAGAAACTAGTAAGGGCATTGATAATCTATTTCATGAAATCCTGGAAGAAGACTTTCCAAATACAGAGAGACACATGAATATCCAGACCCAAGAAATACAAAGAACCGCACATAGATGAAACCCAAGAAGATCTTCCCCAAGGCACATCATAGCCAGATTGACCAAAACCACAGACAGAGACAAGATACTAAAATTGGCAAGAGAGAAACCTCAAGTTACTTTCAAAGGATACCCGATCAGGATAACATCAGACCTCCCGTCTGAAACCATGTAAGCAAGGAAAGAAGGGGAAAATATATTCAAAGTGTTAAGTGAAAAGCAGTTTTACCCAAAAATAGTATATCCAGCAATATTATCCTTCATATGTGAAGAAAAGACCCAAAACATTCTCAGATAAACAAAACTGCAAAGAATTAACCAACACCAGACCAGCTTTACAAGAAGTACTGAGGGGAGTGCTATACCTGGAAAACTAAAGACAGACAGAAATAAGAGAACAAAAAATGACCAAGAAAAAATACCAACTTAATGATAGGGACAAGTTCAGATATATCAGTATTAGGGGTTGGCAGGTGGCAGTATGGTGGTTAGGGGTGCTGAACTCCCACATGACCAACCACTGTTTCAGTCCCAGACCTGGCAGCTTGCTTTCTATCTCTTGCTCTCTCTCACTCTGTTCCTCTCTGGTCAAATTAAAATAAATAAATAAAGTTAAAGTAGTTCTTTTTAAAGAAAGAAATATCAATAATAATGTTGAATGTTAACTTCCAGGATTTTAATGGAAGGATCAGACCACAGTAGCACTGCAAATTCAATAGAAGAGACATTAATTACATGAGTATGAACTAGTGAGATAGAATTATTTTACTTTAGATTAAAACATTAATGGTTTTCTTCAATTTTCTTTGATTTCCATATTTGAGGACTTTTGTTTTCCCTTGAACTGTTGATTAGGTCATCTACCTACTATTTGAACTGAACCCTAACCTTTTTCCTGACTTTAAGCTTTAAACAAATTTCTCTTAATTTTTTTTATTTTGATCTATTAAAAATAAAATTATTTTTCTTGAAATTAAAAAGTGCATTAAAATACCTATTAATACCTATTTAATGACTGCAGTAAGCTATATAACCCAGTGAGGTGCTACTTTAGAGTATGTTCACTTTTTTCACTGAGGTTCACACCTGAAGTCAGACATGTATTCATAGATATGTATGTATCAGCTGTGCTTGTTATTGAAAGTTTTTCACTTAAGATCTTTAGTGAATCAATAAAATGTGAAAAAGAAGGCATGGAAAACAGTTGTAGATACTAGAGACACTGTAGGATAAGGGGGAAAATTGACAGAGGATGAGAGGTAGAGAATCAAGGGGAGAAGGGAAAAAAAGCAAAATATATACAAAATGAAAAGTAGATAATTATTTCTTGATGGTAATATGTAATATCCTTGATTGAGCCAATATACAATGTATTCCAGGTGAAAAAAATCTCATGTTTTATACTGTATTGATGTACAATGAATAACTGGGAAAAAATAAAAAGAATTAAAAAAAGAAAATATTTTCATGTTCCCCTTTTTATAGTCATATAAATTTTATAATTATCCAGAGTAATTGCAAAGGACCATTTGGGAAGACTAAAGAAATTATTACCAAATATACCTTTATTGGTATTTCAATACCAATGCCTTACCTCTGGAGACCTGAGATTTTCTCTGTTAGTAATTTCCAGGTCCAAAAAGTACCTCAGACCTAGAAACTGAACAAGAAATTGTGAGTCATCATGGG